CATCATAGAATGCCAATTTAATAGAACAAAGTCTTTTTGCATTGAGGGAGAACTTGAGTGGAGGCCCAATGTCCTTATGCTACCTTAATACTAAACCTATAAATATTGGCACATAGATCTATTTCCCCATCCTCATATATAAATATATTTGCATGTATACATGTCTTTATCTGGACCTCTATAAATGCCCTTTGCCTCCCAGCTCTTTCCTCTATTTCCCTTGACTTTCCTCCTGTCCCACTACCATGCTCACATGGCCAGCCGCACTGACCCATGGCCCTGCGGGGGTACAGCACTGGAGACACAGTGTGGGAATTGCACTGGATCTGATCTCGCCACACAGAGGCAAAGCACTGGGGGAGTGCAGCGGAATAGCAAGGGAATGGAGCGGCAAGGTCCCCAGGGAATGCTGAAGGTGGACTTTGGGGCCAGGGCGTGGCGCCCCAACAGACTGGACTGGAAAACACTCCTAAAGGCCAACAAATGATCCTTGAACTAACTACAAGCTTTTCTTTCTTGTAGTGTTTTGATTTGTTCTTTGTCAGTGGTTTGTTGTTGTTGTTTTGTTGTATATTGTTGCTTGATTTTGCTCTATCTTGTTTTTGTGCATGTTATTATCTCCACAGGTCTGTGTAAATAAGATAGGCTGGATGAACAATCTGTCTAAATAAGATAGGCTGGATGAACAATCTGGACCGACAGTTCCGGGGGGACATGGGATAGGGGGAGGTGGGAGGAAAGGAGGTGGTGTTAACAAATCCAGGGACAAGGGAACAACAAGTGATCCAAATTGGTGGTGAAGTGGGTGTGGGAGGCCTGGTAGGGCATGTAACAAAGAGGAATTGCTGAAACCCTGGTGGGGACTGAACATGATAGTGGGACTCCAACTCTTACTGCTTTTTCTGCCATAGCACTTGTTTCTGAAACTTTATATGATATTTATTTATCCCCATCTCATATATTCCTCATCAGACTTACTAGGACAGTGCTTATGACATGAGCTATAGTGTGTGTATGTGTGTGTTATGGCTACTGACATGTGCCTATTCTTTTCTGATAGATTTTGAGTCTTATTATAAGTACCTTAATAATTATGAAAGAATAGTAAATTACCTAACAGAATTTGAGTGTTAAAGATAAATTTAGTTTTCTTTCAGCTATCTAATTTTTTATTTTCAGACGTAACTTCATAGCCTGATATTTTCCATAAAAATTTTGTCCGGCAGGATGTAAAGTGCTTAATTGCGGGGGCAGGGGTGGGGAGTGAACAATAGATTTACTTTATTTTCAGAGTGCTAACTTTTGTAACAATCTTGGTATCTTATCTGTACTTCTTAAAAGATGCTTGAAGCAGTGTGCTTGAAAACAGTAGTTTTCTGATATGAATTTCTCTTTCATTAGTGGATTTACTCATATAGAAAAACTTTCCTACGTTTCTATTCTTCCATCTTTTCTTTTCAGATGGATTCTCCCAAGGGGGGAGTATGGATGGAGGGAGATCATGTGGTAAAGGAGGGTTGCATTTTTCTGTGAAGTAGGCTACATAGTCAGCAGTAGGAAAGACAAGAACAAAGAAGATGCATTCCCATGGTCCTGGGCGAGGTGGCAGAAGGACTGTGGAACTTCCGTAGCTAACTAGACTCTTTGCCTTTTTGATGGGAGCAGTGAGGTAAATCGGGCTTGCTCTGAGTGGAGCTACCACCCACAAAGCTTGGAAGAAGGCTGGTGACAGCAGATGGTACCCATACACAGTGTGATTTGTTTAGAAACCTACAGAAAGAGCAGCATGTGTTTTGTTTTGTTTGGCTTTGTTTTCCCCCTTAATTACTCAGAGCCTGGGAGATCAGTTTTCAAATAAAATGGAGTGATAATGCTAGCAGGAAGAAAAGTTGGATGTATACACACAAAACATCATATAGATATAATATAATATATAAGATACAACCGTATCCTTAATTGCATGATTTCAGGCACATAATATTTATTGAATATCCATTTTATATAAGTCCCTGTACTAAACATCATAGAAAATGCCAAGAACTGGTTAGTTTTAATATGATACATAATATGAAAGTGCTATGATATATGTGTATTAAGATATTCTAGAAGCTCAGAAGAAAGAGTACCTAATCCAACTGAGGAGGACAGGAAGTCTTAAATGAGGAAGGCTTCCTGGGAAACAGGAGCCCTCGTGTGCAGCCCTAGCTAAGTATTAAAGGACCAGTAGGCACTGCTGCTGCTGCTGCTGCCGCCAGAGAGTTGGCTCCAGGTGAAACTGAGGAGTGCTGAGAGATCAGTATCAAAAGAACAAGAACAAAGTCTCGGGAGCAAGAAATGCCATGGCTTTTGGAAGAGATTCAAATATTGCTGGTCATGCCAAAGACTAACATTTGTGGCTAGAGATGAGCCTGGTTGACAGGTGGCAGATCGTGATGGAATTTTGGAGCTTGTCCTCCTGGTTTGTGTTTTCTCCATGTGTGGCCCACAGACTCTGCAATACTGTCTCCAAGGGTATTGGTTAAAATGCAGGTTGGGTTAAAACGCAGGTTGAAACCCCTTCCAGCGCGTGAAAATTATGCCAAAGATCTAATATTTCTATTCAAAATTGGGATTTTCTATAAGGCTTAGAATGCTCTGTAATTAGCTAAGATGTCCTTAAATAATACCCACTAGCAGGTGTGCTCTAAACAGCCTTCATGAGAAAACTTATTTGTGCTTACATGGCTGTTTTGGGAGGTTCCCAAAGGGAGCACTATAATTATAAAAACTTGCTCATAAAATAAATGTAAAGGACAAGTGTACTACATGTTGGCTCTATAAATGGAGGCAGAAACTTCCAAATAAAATATAATTTGGAAGCCTTGTTCATGGCTACTTCTTTTAAGACACCTTCCTAATTCCATTTTAGAGCAAGAACTTGAGCTCTCGAGTCCGTTTGTGCTGCCTCTGGCCATTATATACAGATGTTATCCATTTAGTTTCTGACATAGAGATTTGGGAGAAATATGGAATTAATATGGATGGAAAATGTTGCAAAATAATAAAAAGGGACTTTAGGATAGGTTTACAAATATCCTGTATCTCTCTGTGTACTACACAGGAATTAGAAAATAAAAGAAGACTACAGAAGCAAGCTGCCACTAGTCAAAGTGCTACAGAAGTTCGATTGAACAGAGCCCTCGAGGAAGCAGAAAAGTACAAGTTGGAGTTAAATAAGTTAAAGCAGAATAACAAGGTATAGTAAAATTTAATAGTTTTAATGTGATCACCTTTGATAACTTCCTTTTTTAAGCAAGAGTCAAAAATAATAGTTTTAAAATTATAATTCTTGATGTCACAGCAAATAATTCTCTTTTCAGAAGAAGTATATTAATTCGTATTATATATATATATATGTATATTTAAGCAAGCTGAGATTATGTTCTTTAGCCGATTGCCTTAACTTGGTAATAGCACAGCCAATTTATTTATTGCTTCATTCTACAAATATATATATATTTTTAATCATTTTATTGGGGGCTCATACAACTCTTATCACAATCCATACATCCATCCATTGTGTTAAGCACATTTGTACATTTGTTACCATCATTCTCAAAACATTTGCTTTCTGCTTGAGCCCTTGGTATCAGCTCCTCATTTTTACCCCTTCCCTCTCTGCTCCCGCCTCCCTCGTGATCCCTTGATAATTTATACATTATTATCATTTTGTCATATCTTACACTGCCCGACGTCTCCCTTCACCCGCTTTTCTGTTGTCCATCCCCCAGGAAGGAGGTTATACATACATCCTTCTAATCGGTTCCCCCTTTCCACCCCACCCTCCCAGTATTGCCATTCTCACCACTGGTCCTGAATGGATCATCTGTCCTGGATTCCCTGTGTTTCCAGTTCCTATCTGTACCAGTGTACATCCTCTGGTCTAGCCAGATTTGTAAGGTGGAACTGGGATCATGATAGTGGCGGGGGCCAGGGACGCGGGGGAGGAAGCATTTAGGAACTAGAGGAAAGTTGTATGTTTCCTCGTTGTTACACTGCACCCTGACTGGCTCATCTCCTCCCCGCGACCCTCTCATTCAATAAATCCTTATTGGGTACCTATAGTGTCAAGGTCTGCCATGCTTTGGGCTGCCAAATACAAGGTTAGAAATTTGAACAACCAGCTACTCTACAGGAGAAAGATGAGGCTGTCTGCTTCTGTAAAGATTTACGGTCTCTAAACCCCAAAGGGATCCAGCACCACCATTATTAGGCAGGCATATACCCTAAAAAAATAAAAGACACAACATGAATAGAGTTGTGCTCTCACATGTTCATAGCGGCACAGTTCAATAGCGAGAAACTGGAAGCAGCCCAGATGCCCAACAGGGGAAGAATGGATAAAGAAACTATGGCACATACGCACATTGGAATACTGTACATCCCTAAAAAACAATGACAAAAGCATGAAACACCGCATGACGTAGAGGGACTTGGAAACCATTGTGCCAACTGAAGTTAAGTCCAACACAAAAGGGACAGGTACTGTATGAATGCACCACTGTAAGAAGAAACACCAGCTTACAGGAACCAAATCCTGAACAAAAGGATAGAAGGCTACCTGTCAGCAGTGAACTACACAGCATCAACCGTACACGAGCCAACGTGTATCCCCACATTGTCTGGGATCACTCCTTCAATAAGGGGGAATTGGGAGATGACTATCCACTTGAGGCTATACAATATCGAAACAAGATTGGAGCAAATCATTGCTCACCACCCCCCCACCCTAAGAAGGGAAGGAGAAGCTTTCTGTAAATTGAAGCCAAGACCACTAGGGGGCCACCTACAATGTAGTGGAGACGCTGGTAGTTCTGTTGGTGAGTATGGTGGGTGATTGGGGAGAACTAACCACACAATGGAAATGGATGCTCAACAATGAGTATAAAGAACCCAGGGGGATGTGTTAGTCCGGGTTGACTAGAGAAACAAATCCAGAGACATTCATATGTGCCTAAGAGAGAGCTTTCTATCAAAGAGTAATTATGTATTAAGAAAACATCCCAGCCCAGTCCAGATCAAGTCCTTAAGATCGATATTAGCCCATAAGTCTGCTATTAGCCCATTACTTCCTCTTCAGACTCATGCAACACATGCAATGATGCCAAGTGCAGGAAGAACACAGGTGAAAAGTTTTGTGGTTCCAGTGGCAGTGGAAGCATCTCCACGTGGCTCTTCCAGCGTCTCAACAGCAGGAAAGGGAAGGCAGAGAGAGAGTAGGTCTGGCTTCCAGTGAGCTATTTATCTCCCTTGCACCTCCAAATGAGGTCATCAAGCTGTGACCTGATTGACAGGCTAAACTCGACCCCTTCACTTTATACCCTCAAGTTGACATGAGATTATGTAACTACCACAGGAGACAATCGGCCAGATTTTAGGTACCTGGGTAGACACTAAAAATTAATTTCTACCCAACCTTTGTTGAACCACACCATGGACTAAGCACCAGGGTGATCATGGAAGCTGACCTGGCAGGCAGCAGGGCACAATGCAGGGACTACACCAGAAGGACTTAACATAGAGGCCCCGCTGAATGAACCCTACCTCGACACTGCCTGCACCCTTGGACTGAGGGCTGGGGTACTGGGATGGGAGAGGAAGCAGAGAGTGGCTGCCCAGGATTGTGTAAGTGGCAGTCGTTGGTCCTTAGGGGGAGTCCCCGCCTCGGGCATCCAGTGGAAAGGGACCCAGGATCACCATACATGTAGTGCCTCAGTGCCCACCCTGCCGTGACTTGACAGGTTGGGATCCACTAAACAAGGATCTACATTTGGGGGAGTTGGCCCATTAAGACACCCCACTGGCACTTAACCCCCATATTAGGGTCAATAGATCCTAATCGAATGAGAGATCGAACTGTATAGGATTAAAAACGTGTGGGCTGCAGCTCAAGGTGAAACTGCTCACATAGACGCCTCATACCGATATTGTCTGCAGTGCTGGGTCTTTGAGAAAACAGCTGATGATAATAGTGCAATTGACATATACACCAGGGGGGTGACGGACAGTGCTATACTTCGTGGTTTATATGGGTTTTTGCATTCCTGCTTTTAGCTTGTTTTTTTGTGATTGTTTTTTTTTTTCTTTTTGGGTGTGTGTGTTCTGGTTGTTTGGTTGCTGATTGGCTTATGACTTCTATTGATGAAGCTGATATTATAGGTTTGTGATTCTTTCATATTAAGCCCGTCAAAGTAAACCTAAAACATGCAAACCCCATGGACAAGCAGATGGAGTCTGGGCTCCTACTTAACTCTAGCCCCAATTCAAGAACACTTAATTCTGATAACATGGTCCTGCTCGATAGTCACCTTCACGAAAGGATCACTGAAGATAAGGGTGCCTCAGCAAAGTGTGGTGAAGAAAAGAGCTGGTGCCTGGCTATCAACTAGAATAGTGTCTGGGGTCTTAAAAGCTTGTATTCAAACAAGCAGCCATCAAAGCGAGGAGTCAACTAAGTCCACACTGAAGAAGCACACCAGCTTGTGCGGTCCAAAGAAGACAATTAAAAATTTGAATATGGTGAAGGAAAAAGTATCAGAGCTAAAATATGAATACCCAAATTATAGAAGACTATGGAGAGCAATGGGAGCCCAAATCCCATCTGCAGAGTATCTGGTCAACCGAGCCACTGGCAGACCCACTTTAGCCACAGGCAAGAGTTTTGAACAGCCTTGCTGTCAGGCAGAGACCATTTTGAATGTGCTGAATTGAACTTGATACTTGGCCAGATGACCTCCCTATAGACCCGACCTGAGTTGGTTCTGTGTGCAAGTATCTCTTACTTGTTCCATGAGAGAAATTTCTTTCCTGGCTTTTGGAAAGTTGATGAGGGTCTTTTACTATTTGTATTTTGGTCTTTATATTATCATTATTTTATCCTTTTTCCCCTTTATGATTTATTTATTTTTAATTAATTAATTTCCAAAAACCACTTTATTGGGAGCTGGTACAGATACCATATCATCCCATAGCTCAATCACATCAAGTAGTATTGTACAATTGCTACCACAATCCTCCTTGAACTCCTTGACACCAGCTCCCATTTACGCCCGACACCATCACCCCCTACCCCCGTACCCCCACCCCGCCGCCCTGACTGTTCCCCCTAGAAACCCTTATTCTACTTGCTGATGACTCTATAGGTCCATCAGTCCTGGGTTTCATAGACTAGAGGGGATGGTGTATGGTTCACTGGCACCAGTAAGGCTCTCTGTCCACCCTGGTCAGCAGACTGGATGCTCTGAAAGCCTGAGCTTATGCCGTCCATCCCGTTACTTATTCCTACAGCAGTGGACTCATACAGTATTTTCCCTTTTGTGACCACCTAACTTCACGCAGCATGTCTTCCAGATCCCTCCATGTCTTGAGGTGTTTCATAGTTTCATCGTTACTTTTTAGGGATATGTAGCATTCCATTGTGTGTACGTACCAGAGTGTTTTATCCAATCTTCTACTGATTAGAATGTAGGTTATGTCCAACTCCTTGCTCTTGTGAGCTGTGCTGCAGTGAACATGTGTGTGATCCGGTTCTTATTTCTTTGGGGGTATGCCCAGTCATGGTATTGCTGAGTCACTTGGTGTTTCCATTGCTGTTTGCTTTCAGAATCGCCACATCGCTTTCCATAGTGGCTGAATGTATTTACAAGTTATTAGCAGTGGATTAGAGTTCCAGTCTCCCCTTGGGCTCCAGTTATGGGTGTTAGATGGTATCTCATGGTTGTTGGTTTGTTTTTTAAATCATTTTATTGGGGGCTCATACAACTATTATCACAATCCATATATCCATTCATTGTGTCAAGCACATTTGTACATATGTTGCCATCATCATTTTCAAAACATCTTTATTCTACTAGAGCCCTTGGTAGCAGCTCATTTTCTGCCCCCTCCAACCCTCCCTCCCTCATGAACCCTTGATAATTTATAATTTTTCTTCATGTCTTACATTGACCACTGCTGTCTCCCTTCACCCACTTTTCTGTTGTCCATCCCCCTGGGAATGGGGTTATATGTAGATCATTGTGATCGGTCCCCTTTTTCCCTCCTACCTTCCCCTTATCCTCCTGGTATCAATACTCTCATTTGCTTATGTGTACCCATTTTGTCTTCAGCGATCTTGTCAGGGAAGGTGAGCATCACAGAATGCCGGATATTAGAATAACAGCTAATTTGCATTGAGGGAATACTTAAGTAGAGACC